CACACACACACACACACACACACACACACACACACACACACACACAGCTCGCCTTAGTCAGCCTTTCAGAAGGACACTGAGGGAAGCATCAGTTACACTGGTGGATGAACAACTCAGTGGATGCCCACTACACCCCCCTACCCTTTGGCCCCCAGAAGGAGGGAGTTTGACGCTCACCTGCACTCTGCTGCACGCTGCGGCGGGTGTGGCTGTCCGCTGAGGCTGGAACACAAAATATAGTGAGAAAAGTGAGAACAATGGCAGATCCAAGCTGAGGAAACGCTGGGAACAGTACAGGCCCAGCCTTAAAGGATGCTCTAGCATGATTCTGTTAGCTCTATTAAAATGCATGGCAGCTCACAGGTCAGGGTTTGGGTGGAACCTGAGCATATGAATTAATAGATAAGATGTGACAGCATAGTCAGTCTTCCCTACTGTGTTCTCCTGTTTCCTACCACAAACTATACATTTGGTAAATATTTTTTCGCTTAGTGTCCTGCTTTACTGACAGTCACCAGTAACCATAAGGGTTAAGCAAATAGATTCTATGAGAACGGATAAATGAGAGTGTGTTACACTGGTCTCAGGACCACGGCTCCCAGTCCATGTGCTGCAGCGTGACACAGGCTGATGAAGACGTAAGATACAGGCAGGATCTGGACGGCTACAAGACGGTTTCTGCACCATTACGCGTATTCCCACACACATTGCACTGTCAGGGCGGTAATGAAGATGCATTTACAGGGGCTTGTGTGTGGGCTGCTTTAATAATTCTACCCGGCCTCTCGAGATGTGCTGACACGGATTCTAGGAAGCTTACTCTGCAGAACTGATGCCGTGGAAACGGAGAGACGGCCAAAGGCAACCTGAGTTGTAGAAGGTGTAACATGCGCCTGCTTGTGCGAGTGCCTGCGCTCACTCCTTGACTCACTCCTGCTTGGTGTCTGGGGCTGCCCAGGGGCTATCGGCTCTGCCTGCTTCAGGGCTGGGAAGGGTGTGGCCTGCTCACCACCACGGTCCTTTGGCTTTGAAACGGGCATGGGCGAGGGCATGAACAGCTTGGGCAGGCCCTTGAAGAACCAGGCGCCAGTTCGCTTCCACACCTACAACGGCAGTGGAAGAGACACATTCAGATCAACAGCAAGGGAAACAACAGCAATAATTAATCCCACAAACAGTAGCTCCTATGTCTTCTAGCGTCTGGGGTCCAAGTAAGATCCCAAGTGGCAGGAATTCAAATATGATGAAAAGGGATTTAACAGAGGGATTGCAGTTCCCACATCTTGCCACAAGAGGGCACATAAACTGCACATGCTGCCAGATAGTAAAGGAACCTGGGCCACAGATTTAAAAATCACTCCACGGACTAGTGGAAACAGCCAAAATGAAGTACTTTACACTGCGAACACCACAGTGATGCTGACGTTACGTACAGAAACATGCAGAATGAGTAGATACTCTACTGCGACCAAGATGGTAGCACATGCTCGCGACTGACCTCTTTCTGCTCGCTGCAGATCTTGCAGAGCCACAGTGGATGAGGCCGGCTGGTCTTCTGAACAGCGCAGCTGGTGCATACATGCTGCAGGAGGGAAAGGAAAGTGGATCCAGGAGAATTCAGCCTGACCCCATGGTGACACTACCACCTGAAAGCCTGGCGTGGGGGGACCGGTTGTGTCCTTATCTTCTGTGTCTCACGTCCAACACAAATCATATCAAATGACAGTATCTGGGTGTATGATTAATGTCCTCCACTTATCAAAGGGAATTTTACTTTGTGAAAATCCTAGAAAGGGAAGTGCTGTTGTACCCTTGAACATCTATTACCCGAACAAAGAGTGGCATAGCACAGTTCCCCGCCCCCACACCTTCTTGCAGTCCTCGCAGACTGCTGAGCTGACTCCTGGGGCATTCAGTTGTGCCCCACACAGCAGGCAGCAGGAGACGCCATCGCCACGGACCGTCTGCTTCATATCGTCCAGCCGGGTCATCAGGTGCCTGACCAATCAGATGGACACTCAGTCCCTCCCACACCCGGGTCATCAGGTGCCTGACCAATCAGATGGACACTCAGTCCCTCCCACACCCGGGTCATCAGGTGCCTGACCAATCAGATGGACACTCAGTCCCTCCCACACCCGGGTCATCAGGTGCCTGACCAATCAGATGGACACTCAGTCCCTCCCACACCTGAAACTCCTCCCTTTCAGGAAGGTTGGCCTGTTGACTCATTCCCTTCTATAGACTTTGCGTTTTGCCTCTCTGCTTTGTTAAGGACATGCTCCTGCTCCCATTCTTGTGCCAAATGCCAGGCTCTGTGGCCGCTGAGTGCTGAAAGTGGGAGCAGAAGGCCGCCATCGACCGTGTGCTGCTGTCTGCTTTTGTATTTCGCTGTGACCGCAACAAAGATCAGGTAGGTCCTACTGGATAGTAGCATCCATTACATTATCCATCCATCCATCCATCCATCCATCCATCTTTTGCCACTCATTTGGATCTGGGTCACAGGGGCGGCAGTCTGAGCAGGAATGCCCAGAACTCCCTCCCTCTTCAGTCACCTCCTACAGCTCCTCTAGAAAGGCATTGCATAACTGCTGATGAATAGTTGTTTCTGTACCACCTCAGTGACTTCAGCCTCATTGACGGGCGAGTCCGCCTCAGAGTCCCCCAAATCTTCTTCCTAATAGGAAGGTATGTCAGTGGGATTCAGGAGATCTCAAAGTACTCGTTACACCACCTGGCTATATCCCCAGTTGAGGTCAGCAGCGCTCCATCCCTGCCGTAAGCAGCGTTTATAAAGCCTTGCTTCCCCCTCCTGAGTCGCCCGATGGTTTGTCAGGATCATTCTGAGGCTGACCGAAAGCCATTTTTCATGGCCGCTTTGAGCTCCTCCCAGACCCGAGTATTTGCTTCTGCATCTACCAAACCCACACTCTGCATGGCCGGCCAGTGCCTCTACAGTCCCGCAAGCTAGACAAGCTCTGAAGGCCTCCTCCTTCATCCTCACGGCTCCCTTTGTCACTGGTGTCCACCAGGGACGTTTCTAGGATTTTTTTAATAGGGTGACAGAGGGGGGACAAAGAATCAGCAAGGGGGCGGGGGAGGGGCACTGGAAATCTGAAAACAGAATTATAAATAAATAGTGTTAAAAATTGAGGGGTAGCATGGTGCTGCAGTGGTTAGCACTGTTGCCTCACACCTCTGGGACCAGGGTTCAAGTCTCCGCCTGGGTTACATGTGTGTGGAGTTTGCATGTTCTCTCCACATCACCATGGGGTTTTCTCTGGATACTCCAGTTTCCCCCCACAGTCCAAAGACTAACTGGAGTTACTAAAAATTGTCCATAGGTGTGAATAGTGTGTGAGTGAATGGTGTGTGAGTGAATGGTGTATGAGTGTGCCCTGCAATGGGCTGGCCCCCTGTCCTGGGTTATTCCCCACCTCATGCCCGTAGCTTCCAAGATAGGCTCTGGACCCCCTGCAACCCAGAAGGATAAGCAGTTTGGAAAATGGATGGATGGATAGTGTTGAAAATTACCTTTAGAAGACAGTTTTAAACTGATTTTTTTTTTGCATGGACAGGATTGAACAATATTTATACACTAAAAAAATATCAGGCATGAATTATTCATTTAACAGTATTTATTTGTAACATTACAGTGTGTGTTTTTCACTTGTTTTCAGCTTGAACTGTATAGATTTTTAAAATCCAGTTAGATAGCTAAGGTAATATTCTCAAACCTCACATTTCAATGTTTGCCACTTTATTTGTAGCTTTTTTGGGAGAACAGATTATTGTTTTAAAAATTAAAGGCATAAAGTCACAGCTCTTCACTGGACTGCAGAAGTTAGCAAATTAGCTACATATTCAACGTGTCTCTCTTGGGACTTCAGCTTTAGAAGCCATTATACGCGTGAGAGTCGCCTTTATGCACATCATTTTGCAACAGAGAAAAGGGATATCCTAATTCACATATTTAGAACTTTTTAATTGAATTTGTATATACTATGAACAAAGATGGTCTGTAGTCTAGTCGCGTCTCTGCCGTTTGAAAAAAATCCACTCTTCAAAGCATGCGGATAGTGACAGTGCTCAGATTCAATGACAGGCATTGTCAGGTTGCCAGGGAATAAATGACAGTGCTCTGATCAAATGATGCTGGGCACGGTCAGACTGACAGTATTCTACACCAATGGTGTTGGGGGGGGGGGCCAAAAGTATTTCGGGGGGGTGGGTGCACCCCATGCCCCCCTTCTAGATCCACCCCTGGTGTCCACATCTGGGTTCAGGGGCTGCCATGCAACAGTCACCAACAACCTTATGGCCACAGCTCAGCACAACCTCTTCAGCATTCGGCCTCAATGTCTCCAGCCATGGGATACAAGAGAAGTTCTGCCTGAGGTGCATGTTGAAGATCTCCCAGACAGGGGTCTTAGCCAAATGCTCCAACTAAACGTTTGGATCTTACAGGTCTGTCTGGCATTCTCCCCTGCCATCTGATCCAACCCACAACCAGGTGGTGATCAGTTGACAGCTCAGCTCCTCTCTTCACCAGAATATCCAAGGCGTATGGTCTTTTAGGTCTGATGACACGACAACAAAATTGATCTGTGGCCTAGGGTCTGGTGCCAGATGCAATAATGAGCAACCTTGAGCTCAAAACTTAAACAGACTTCACGCAAGAGAGAGCGCAAATGGCGCTCAACCAAACTAGAAGTTTTCAGATCTGCCTGGAAAGAGAGCCTCTCTAAGTACAGACAAGCACTAGTGACTGCTAGATCTGTGCATCTCTCCAGATTAATAGAAGAGAACAAAAACAATCCAAAATTCCTGTTTGAATCTTTCTAGATTAACACAGAGATCTTCAGCGTTAAACTTGTCAGTTCCACAAGATCTTAAGTGATGACTTTATTACATTTTAATGGTAAAATAACTAAGATTACACAGACCATCCAGAGCACGCCAGTAGCTACATACAGCTACCAGCCTTCTGCTAGTCCTATTCATACAGATAATGACACCTTTGAGTCTTTCCTTCCTTCCCACTGATTTGCCCTACTCTGTAAAATGTGTTAGACTCATCTCTTAGGCTTGGGTATGTTCCAAAACCTTTTAAAAATAGCTGTTATTAGACCTGTCCTAAAGAAAATCTTGAACCTAGTGATTTAGGAAATTATAGACCTATCTTGAATCTTCCTTTCATTTCAAAGATCCTGGAAAATGTGTTGTTCATTATCTGTCTTCTATTCTACAGGAAAATAATGCTAATGAATTATATCAGTCTGGCTTTAGACCGAACCATAGAACAGAAACAACTTTAATCAAAGTAATGAATGATGTGCATATGACTTCTGACCATGGTTGTATATCTTTGTTGGTATTACTAGATGTAACAATGAATCTTCAATTCAAGTCAAGTATGATGTCCCACAGGGATCAGTGCTGGGCCCGCTACTGTTCACTTTATATATGCTACCACTTGGCAACATTATTAGAAATCATGGTGTTGAATTTCATTGTTATGCTGATGATACACAGTTATATACATCTGTTAAACCAGAAGATGCATCACAACTCTCTCAGTAAGAAGACTACAAGATATCCAGTGTTAAATGTAAAAAAAAAATCCTTAGAAAAATTCCTTTCTAAGAAATATTACTAGAACTGCCAACATAGCTAAGCTTTGAAAAATGCTCTCCTTTCACGATGTAGAAAATCTCATACAGTACATGCCTTGATAACTTCCAGACTGGTCTACTGTAATGCCCTCCTTTCTGGCTCTCCATCCACCTCCTTATATAAATTTCAGCTAGTACAAAATGCAGGAGCCAGAGTTCTTACAAACACTATTTTTTTTTAATCATATTAGCCCTGTTCTTTGCTCCCTTCACTGGCTTCACAGTGCAACTTTTGCACTGTCTACAAAATACTGCTATTAACTTTCACCCCGCTGCTGTACCACTGTTCCTCCTCCCATCTGAAGCAGAACCAGCACCTACATACCATCATCTGCCTGCCCCCTGAGACTCAAATGTTAAAATTGGGACAGTATGAACAGGAACTTTGCCATCTTGGTCATTTGACTTCCCCTGCCAGTTTTTCCTTGCCACTGTCACCTCTGGTTGGCTCACTGGGGGCTTTGAGTGGGGATAATGTAAAGCACTTTGTGACAATGTAATGTTGTGAAAATGCGCTATAAAGTTGAAAAATGGTGTTCATTGTGGATAAACTGCAGCTAACACAAAAGTCCGATAACAGCGCACCACCCCTAGGGTTCAGATCTGGCTGGCTGGTCCTCCCAATCACACTCTTTCAAATTTCAGTGTCATTACCCACATGAGCATCAAAGTCCCCCAGTAGAACAATGCAGACCACAGAGGTGGTGCCTTCTAGCACCCCACCCTAGCTCTCCAAGAAGGCAAAATACTCTGAACTCAAAGCAGTGCGGCCGAACCAGAGGGCTATAAGCAGACCCACACCTGCCCGGTGCCTCTCACCAAAGGCAACAGTGGAACTGAGTCCAGCCCCTCTCCAGGAGCCTGGTTCCAGAGCCCACGCTGTGTGTTGAGATGAGCCCAACCGGATCTAAATTTAGATGGTATCTCTCTACCTTCTACACTAATTCAGGTTCCTATCCTACCAGAGAGGTTACATTCCATGTGCCTAAAGCCAGTTTTGGTTCAACAAGGCATCTGCCTTTAATGCATAAAGCACCAGACCCCCATGGGTCCTCCTGCAGGTGGTGGGCCTACAGGAGGGCAGATTCATGTAGCTCTGGATGGATGGATAGAAGGAGGTAGGCCTGACCACCAGGTGCCTAATGACAAGCTCCTCCTAGCCAGGCTCTAAGGCAGGGCCCCAGCTTCTCTATTCCAGGTGAGGTTTCTGGGTTCATGCTGATTTTCACCATTATGAGGGTCACTGACCTAGGACCTTTGGAGACCGTACCAGGGGCAATTTCTCCCAACCAGATACCTCCTAGGATCACTGAGGTGCACAAACCCTCCACCACCACCTCATGGAGGGATCCATTACATTAACAAAATATACATCTGGAGAGTCTGTATGAGAGATTTATAGTTTATAATTTATCATTTAAAGTATACTATACAGTCTGTATGAGACAAAAGGAACAGATCTCAGATACTCAGATAATGTCGCGTTTTGTGCCGACGTGGGGACAAAGCTGACCCGATCCGGTCCTGCTCCGCCATCTCCATCTGCTGGGCCCGCGCGATCACGTTGTTGATGATCATCTTCTCTTCGTCCGTCAGCTCGTCAGCCTGTGGCTCGTAACCGTGGGAAGGGCACGTCGCCCAGCCTGTCCTGACATGGGGCGGGGGGTGGGGTGGGGGGGGGGGTAATACAACCACATAGACACTATGCACAAGTCTAATTTATGGATTTATGTCCTCATTTACACAAGCTGAGGAAACACCGTCATATAGTATAAAGCAGGCACTGGGGAACCGAAGCAGAACCTTTCCTGGGACTTGGACCTATAATCTCCAGCATACGAGTTAAAGTCTTGCCTGTTGCACTTCCCCACACACACCAAGGCAAGATCCAGGGGTTATTTGAAAAATCCATCCAGCCTAATCCTATTATCTTTCCTCTAGCTTGGAGAACAGGTTGAAACATTACCTTAAGATAAGGAGTGCACGCACGTTAATGTAGGTGTACCATCTGTGTATGTAAAGTGTATGTGTGTATGTTTGTGTAGAGTGTGTGCATAGATATGTGAGTGCAAGGGAACACTGCTATATATCAGGTTGCCTTTGTGTCTGTGTGGTTGTGTTTGGAGTGTACAATCCCCCCCTCCCCCCAGCTGGGCCGGAAAATGTCAGCTACTATGACCTGGGACAGCTCTTTTTAAACCTCCCCCATCACAGCAATATATGGCTGTTTTAGGAATCAGAGGCAAGGTTTTAAATGGGGAGGGGCGTCACCAGGGCGTTCAGCAGCTCACACGATGCTCTGTGATCTTTGTGTTAGTCACACTGAGCTGAAGGAGGGCCACCTTGGACGGGGAGCTGGGCTTGATGAGGCCGTCCCAGTTACGCACAACAACAGCGGCAGGAGGCAGATCTCCAACAGATCAGTAATTTCTCCCCTGAAAGAGATTGATCCTTGTTTACATGCAATAATTTAGAGTTTTGTTTGTTTGCGTTGGACAAGAGTGCTGGACTAGATTTAGCTTGTGGTTACTCATCCCTGCTCTTGGAATAAAGCCAGAGCACCTCTGGATGTAATTTCATACCTCGCTACCCCGTATTTGTGGGATTCCTCTCCTGAGCCCATGTGGGAATGCATGTATTTGACCTGCCCGTCAGCTGATATGAGACTCTATAGCTTAGTGGCGAGAATGAAGCCAAGATGAATGAGCATGCAAACACGTCCACACACGTCACCCTGACAAAGAGTATGCCAAGCACTGTGGACATTTCACAGAGGATAAAAGGCATAGGCTGATACTTACGGGTCTTTATCACTGGGCAAGAATGGCAAAGACAGAATGGGGGGGGGGGGGGGGGGCAGTTAGCAGAGCATGATGACAAAAGACAGACACAGTAATCATTGTTGCCACCCTTGATCCCGGCCCTCTGAAAGTTCAAAGGTCATAGGCTCACCTGCCTTGCCTGCCATCGGGCCTGACGTTTGGATCCAAGGTCCTGCCCAGAACAGTGTCCGTCATGGCTGGGTCCAGGGCCAAGCGGGGGTGAGTTACTGGTCATACAAGCGAGCAGTGAGAAGTACTGGGAGTGCATGCCGGAAGGGTCTAGTCCCATCTGATTACAGTGTATCTTGCATTATTAGCTTGACGGATGATTTCATTCATATCGACTCAAGTTTTGCTTACATCGCACAGATACACGCAAATAACCACAAAGCGTAATTTTTACTGTAATCAGCAGTAAAATCATACCAGTTGAGACAGAGGCATTCACCTGGCACACAGCTCCATGTGGTCCCATACAAATTACAGTTCTCTAACTGAGGTGCAGCCTCCTAATTTACATCCCTCTCTCAGGGGTCTTTGAATCCAAAGACTGTAATGCACTACACAATATGGAGGCAGATATGCAGATATTAAACCAACAGTCTATGATGACTGAGGTAGTCTTTTCAACTTGCCTGTTTCGACCACCAAACTCATTTGTATCTAACGGTGTCTTGGGTCCAGCATTTCCATTGGATTCAGGATGAGCAATCCGGTGATTAAGTGCCAAATCATATCGTGTTCAGACAGGTGATGATGGCCTTTATGGATCCCCGACTCTCACCTTCACGCACAGGCCACACCTAACAGCCCTAGCCACTGGTGCCATCCCTAGAGGGCACATATATCATTCCAATCGGAATTGAAACCAGACAGTATCTCTGTTACTACTTAAAGAGGTACTGTCGGCTTTCAGAGCTAAAAAGGTGCTGCAAATCATTGTAGACAGGCGTTCGGTGAAGCCTGCTCTCCCATTATGTTCTGTTTATCAGTGGGGCTTCATATACTGAGCTAAAGGCAATGGACTATGCCGGTAACAGACTTCCAATGTGTGTGAATCTGATCGCTCCGCTAGAAGCCCAGGAATCATGGGAATTCATGGTGTCATTGGGATACGGTAAAAGGTAAAAGCTCCCCTCTTACCATCATGAAAGCCAAAAAAGACCCAAGGTGATGGAGGAGACAGACTGCCAGCTTACCTGGCACAGATACTCTGCAGGCGTGGCAGGCAGGTGAGAAACGAGAAGATCACCCGGGGTTAGGAGCAAGTTGGGGCAAGAGGTTCAAGTATGATAGCCTTCTCCACCTTTGGAACGATCTCCGTCTTCGCTATCAATTCATCACTCTGCGCACAGAACAAAGAATGGAGGAACAAGCTAAGGGAAATTAAAAAGGCGGGGATCAATAAAGCTTTTCCGTGTTGCTGCAAGTGATCAGACTTGTGCTGTGTGGAGAGCTGGGAGGGGTGGGGGTGGTGCCACACTGATAATGGCAGACATTTCAGGTCCAGAAAGTAAAAATCCAAACCAGGAATTTTGTTTCACCCAACCAGTCGAAGTACTCTGTGACTGTGACTCTTTATGCTCAACTGGTTGGTTGAAACAAAATCCTGGTTTGGATTTCTACTTTCTGGACCTGAAATGTCCGTCTCTGGTATCAGCCCAGCAGGAGTCCTCCTCTCATGACCTGCATCCTCTTTCTGCTGTATCTTGGCTAGATCAGCCGCTCATTTACACCTTTTGAACAACCTGGTTTTTCATGCCAGGCATGTGGCTGAAAGCCCAGGTCATGCTGTGCCACAGTGAATGCAGGGTTTTCCCCGCTGTTTTTTAACTGTGGACAGTGTCAGTGCTGAGAATTAAAGCCAAAACACTTCAGTTACGGTAATTACTGATCTGGTGCCTAAGTGCCCAGATGCCCTAGAAATCTGTAAATACTGCAGCCTGCCTAAGGTTAGATCCTATGAGCTCATGTATGATAAAAACATAGCATAAATGAAGACCTTGAAGGACTAGGGCTGCTCTCTAGTACAGCAGAGGGCAGAGAGATGTGTGCTACCCCAACCACCAGCAGAACCCCTTGCTGGGAAAACCCAAAGCTTCTGCCAGCTTCTAGAGTGTTGGCTGTAACAATACAACTCAGCCCAAATTGACACACAGTGGACAAGACAGCTTGGATCTCAGGGAGGAGGGGCTGAGGGTACATGGCATCCAAGTCCACTACACATCTTCATATCTTCTTAATGTAACCTTCCAGGATTCCCAGTGACAGCTGAGAAGTCGCCCTGTGGGCTTTTGAGATGCCAGAAGTGCTGGGTATACAGACTTCAAGTTAAACGTGAACTATTCATCTTATGTAACGAATAGCTGGAAAAGAAATTCAACAGCATAACGAATGAGAGAACGATGATGTTTAAATGATTCTCTCGTACTATAACGAAGGGGGGTTTGTCCACGATAAATTTCAAAATACCACAGTATGCCAAAAATATTACCATAACACCGCAAAAGCCTATCCCACACATTCCCTCCAGCTCTGCAAAAAATCCTTATAAAAAGACTTGTCTCAACGTAATTATAGTGCAATTATTAATAAATGCATTTAAAATATATACACTGAAAATTAAAAGTTCACGATGTAACTGCCCCAGTTAAAAAGGTGTCGACGGAATACAACTTGGAACGAATTCAGGATGTGTCACGCCCTGCATTCTTGCTCTCTTGCTCTTTCCCAAGTGTGGCTCATTGCTAATTTGTCTTACCTCTTGTTTCAGCCCTCATATGCCTCACTCCAGCTGCCCCTCATCTGCTCCCTCATTAGTGATGTAAATGAGTGCCTCCCAGTCCTGTGCTCCCCAGTCCGGTCATTGATGTCACCCTAGTGTGTGCTCCACTGCCTTCCCTTTAGCTAGTTGTGCCTTTTGTTTGACCTCACGCGGTTTAGTTTGCCCTGATCCTGTTCCTTTCAATAAATCCCTTACTGGTTTGCCCTTAAGCCTGCTCCTGTCTCCATCTTGGAACGTGACGGGATGCATTGTTTCTACATCGGTAAAATTTGATTTATTACTGTAGAATAGTGAGTTAAATTATTTTTCTTCAATAATTTCATATTATTTATTCAGGGAGCAACTGGTGTTATTAATGTTCTCAGGGATCATTATGTATCCAGAGCACAGGAGGGCAATGTATTTTATTGCATGCCTACTTGCTTTTGTAAGCCGTTGCATACAAAAGCATATTCCCTTTTGTACTGGTGTGTGTGTGTTTGTGTCTATACACACACACACACACACACACAGATACTGCAGCATCCCACAAACCCAGCCATTGCAGCAAAGAACTCAGACGACCTGCTCCCAAGTACAAATGTTCTTTTATTTAGCCCTTAAAAGGACCAAGCATAACCACTGAATGAATATTGTTATATGAACACAAGCACTATAGTGGGGGAAATGGAGCGTTAGTCACATTACAAACAGTAGGTCGCAAACACCGTATCTACAAAGTGGTTGGAGACATGCAAGGATGGGCAAAGGATCACATACAGCACAGGTAAGTATAATGCATGACTTTCAGGGCACGACACAGCAGTTACACACTGATAAAGGCTATTTAAGTCTAGCAAAGCATGCTGGGAGATGCAAATGAGCTCCCCAACATCACAAAATACAGGGGTTTGACAATGAAACTGAACATGAGACTTCAAAGGAAGAGTCACCAGAGATAGGAATTGTCACTGCCGAGATAATTGAACCGCACGACGAGGTTGATATTCTCTCTGCAGACAGGCACACTGCTGATGGCTGTGCCCAAGGACCTTATCTGGGACTGAGAGCAGTATTATCTCCTTTTAGTTGCTGCAATCCAGGTGATCACTCTTCCCTTTCCAGATTAGGACAAGGAGTCACATTTTCCAGTCAGTTGGGATGACACTCATCTCCCAAATGGAAGCAAAGACTGCTTGCAAAGCTAAGAGGATAACTTTACCACCAGCTTGGAGAAGTTCACCCCAGATACCACAGATCCCAGCAGCTTTTCCAAACCCCCAACTGGTTCACCTATGCAATCTCAGTGAGATTGGGTTTTTCACAGCTCAGTGGAGGATCAGTCACAAGAACCATGGACCGAGTGATATCCAACATAGTACCCACAGTAGCATAGAAGTCAGCCCAGCGGGTCACAACTGCAGTGTTATCCATAAGAGTTGTTTCATCCTCTGCACTGACTGCAACTCTCAGAGGAACAGATTTGCATGTGTGTAATGCTTCGATACCTCTGTAATCAGGATAGGGGTCGGTAGACAAGATGGCTTGTTATTTGCGCACAGATTCCTCTAACAAACACCTCCTTATCTGCGCTCAGAACCTTCACAGCCATCCTTCTCAGTTCCCATCTCAGTTGCCATCAAACCGTGTGGTACAACTCCTCTCGACAGCATCGAGGGTGCCCAGTGATATGAAGCACCTCTTTCTGGAAACACCAACACAACCCTGAGCAGCCTTCAGGGTCTTATCATGGAAGTTTTCCAACATTACATTAGGATCAGCAGTCACACCCTAGTCTGCAAGTTCTTCACACAAACCGCAAACTCATTAGAAAAAGCTTGGAGGCTGGCCAGATCCAGCCTCATTCTCCCAGTAGGTGGTATCCTACTGAACCTAAGATGAATCTTCAAAGTAGCAACAAGAAGTCTATAGTCAGAATTCACAAACTGGGCATTTCTATAGACCCTGCAGTGTTGTAGGAGGCTCCAGCATCTGCCCACAAGGATGTGATCGATCTCCTTCACCACACCACCAGTATTGCAGTTCCAAGTCCAATGACGTGGCTCAGGGCACTGGAACCATATCCAGTGATTTGCAGACCCTGCACTTTTGCAATGTCGAGGAACATCAGGCCTCTTTCACCACTGTCACCAGATTCGTGGAGACTGACACAGGCCTCATAGCGGACTGTCAGTGTGAGCGGTTGCATTGCGGTCACCCATGACCAGAGAAGTGTCACCTTCTAGGTACCCATCAGCCACAGTGCAAAAGGTGAGAATAACTTTGGGAGGTGCCATTCTGCCACAGCGACAGCTACTCCCTGAGTATGGCAGCCATCAGAGCGACCCAGCCAATAATAGGTGTACACACCTACAAAAGATCAAGCCACTCCCCAGTCTGCGTACCTCAGAGAATGCAGCCACTGAAATGTAGCCCCAACAGCAGTGGAAGATGCCATAGAGAGAAGACGTTCCATGCACCTACCCAGATAGGACACCTCAAATTGGGACCCCCACAAATGGTCTGCCCTAGCTGCTAGAGCTATTGAGCAGGAAGCAGCACACGGCCAGGGTTACATTAATATATAATTATTATTAGAGGCCCTATGCCTTAATAATTTAGAAATGAAACCAAAATTTTTTAGATTAATTTCCCCTCTCTAAACTGTTTCTCAAGTGCACTCTCTTATCTCCAGTTCTCCACTGCTGTCAGTGGCTAATTCTCTACAAGTCTCCCAGAAAAGTCACGCGTCAGCTGGAACTGAATATGGCAATGCATCGCATTGTATCGTGTCGAATTGCACCGCATTGCAATAGGGGTGAATCGTGTTGTATCGCAATAGGAGTAGCTTCTTATGTATCCTTATTGTATCGGATCATTGGCAATGCATCGAGATGTGTATTGCATCACCTCAGAGATGAAGATGCACATCCCTACAGTCTACTGCTTAAAACACGCTTTACCGGATATGGGACATGTTTATGTCAGTTTTATACTCCATTTATTCTACCCTTTGTACTCTGAATGGATGGAGTGCAATTAATGACATTTAAATATGCATTGTGAGATAACGCAGAAGGAGGGCTATTACAAGATCTTGTACAAGTACAGCTACAGCATAGACTTCTTTGGGAAACTGAAACACAAGTTTATTGTAACAGAAACGCCTAGTGGAGTGGAAGGAAAAAAACAAAGTAGCGTTTGCAAAGCTATCTCCAGAGCTCATCCCAAAGCTACCATTAGTGGCACCATTTTCCAGCGCAATCCCATATGACAAATCACTGCCCAAATGGAAAGAGATCACAGGTGCCGTGGTTATTACATCACAAAAGATATGATGTTCATTTACAGTGTGGAGAAGGAAGGGTTTGCTAAAATGCTGTACACCACTTAGCAAAGGTGTGTAATTCCAAGGTACAAATATTTTATGATCCTCTCAATAAATCTGTAAAGAATTGATTCCACTGAGATTTTTTTCATGCACCTTTTTATGTAGTTAACATAATTAAGTTTACAAATATAGTTTTCCATTTGTAAATATCTGTTTTTTTTTCTAATATATATTTTTTAATATTCTGACA